TCCTTCCTTCCTTCCTTCCTTCCTTCCTTCCTTCCTTCCTTCCTTCCTTTTCACCCACTGTCCGTGCACTTTTGTTCATCCTTAATGACCTCCGAAGCTGCCCCTCTTTTAAAAGCTGTGATTTCTCCACCTCCGTTCCTCCTGCCTTCCAGGATTGGATAGGCTCCGGCTAATAAGTGGGTGGTTTCAGGGGAGGAAGACATAGGCACAAACGGATTGCCCACCTCTTCTCATTTAAATATTACAACGAATTGTGCTGATATAGAACCGGGCATCTATTTCACCCCTTGAACTTTCCTGTCTCTCTCTCTCTCTCTAGATCAGTTATTTTTGATCGGCCATCTTCTGGCTGAGCTTTTCTTATATTCTGTGGGGAGATTTGGTTTTAAACATTTCCATCTGGGGCTCCTTTGGGTCATTTATTTTCAAACTCTTTAAGACACAACCATGGGATCCAAGCAAGTCCTAGTCACTTACAAGAGAGGTAAGTAAATCTCCTTGGCTTTCTGCCCTGCTCAAACCCCAACTGGACTAAAGAGAAGGGAATATGCTGGAGTTATAGTTATGCATTGCCAGAGAAGAAAAATACACTTGCGTCATCATAGCAGATGCTGATCTCCAGGTATCACAAGGAATGCTATTTAAAAAGAGCCAAAGGGGGAAGGGAGACTTATAATCACAAAGTCTCATGCTCATTTGCTGTCCAGGAGCTCATTCTGGTTAGATCCCGCCAAGGGTTGATTCTTCCAGTTTCTCGTGGTCCTTTATCCTCAAAATAGACTTGAAATGGACAGTCCTAAGTTAAGTCAATCTTCTTCACAGTCAAAGACCCAGGCACGCATTTGGTTTCAAAGCCACTATTCAAAAATAGGAGGGGGGGGAAGCTGTCTTAGGCTATGCCAACCTTTAGCTATTGGCAGAGGAAAAGAAAGTAGTCTCCCCGCCATTATTAATGGGGAAGGCAAAGGAAGCTTGTTGGCCTCCAGACATGATGTGAAGGCTTTTGTTTGCGAGATACAATGAGAAAAAGGACTCTGGTTACAGTCCAAACACTGTTTGTTCCAGTGTCACCCAGATGTCTTGTGATGATAGATAACTTTGAATGCAATGTTACAAATGACAGAATGATCCGCGTCAGTGCCTTGAAAAGCTTCCAGAGACAAAATTGCAGAGTAAAATGGCTGGTCTTTTTATTTGCAAGCTTTTTTCTTCTTCTTCTTCTTCTCCTTTTAAGTGGTATTTAGTCTCGCCTTCTGTGAAAGCAGAAAATAGCCTTTTGCTGAAAATGGACTTAATAACTCTTGGGTATTTATAGGGATGTAATGTCCCCTGGATAGTTTTCCCTGTGCATTAAAAAAGTGATTTGGTTAACTATGCTTTACTAGTTTGTGCTACAGCTGGCTTGGTTAGCACAGGCTCAGCTGTAAAACATGGTTTATAAGCCACAAGATCTGGGGTTATGTCACCTGCTGTGTCTTTGCTGGTTAATGCAAAGCTCTTCTTCTTCTTCTTCTTCTTCTTCTTCTTCTTCTTCTTCTTCTTCTTCTTCTTCTTCTTCTTCTTCTTCTTCTTCTTCTTCTTCTTCTTCTTCTTCTTCTTCTTCTTCTTCTTCTTCTTCTTCTTCTTCTTCTTCTTCTTCTTCTTCTTCTTCTTCTTCTTCTTCTTCTTCTTCTTCTTCTTCCTCTTCTTCTTC